AAGCATTGCAGTGGTAAAATATTATTTATTTGTTATGTTAACTCTTCATTCATACCCTGCCACTGTCCTTCAAAACACTAGGTTTGTACTTATTTGATCACTTGTTATATTTCGATAAGTGCAGGTCAGAATATTTGTACATCTAAGTTAAGATAAATGACTTTAACATATTTTCACCTATATTCATTTTATTTTCACAAAACATATTTAAACCATAAAATATGGCACTTTGTTTGTCTTTAATATGCTTGTCTTTTACGTATGTACATATGTGTCGATAGATAGATAGACAGACAGACAGACAGACGGACAGACAGACGGACACACAGAACAAGAACAAACATTGGCTCGTACTGTGGACATACAAAAGACAATTAAAAGAAAACAAAAAAGAAGAGACAAAAAAAACACACATCATAGTCACAAAACATACAATCAAAACTAGAGAGGATGTATAGCTTAAACCTCAGAGGGGTCACTGGATTGCTCTTGAGATATAGATTTGTCAAATAAATCAATAAATTAAAATCACTTTTTTAACTTTATACATGTTGGAGACATGAAAATGGGTTGTGCCATCTTGAACTAGGGCTGCACAATATTGGAAAATTATAACATTGTGATATTTTTATTTCTGTGATGTATATTATAATACCAATACAGTTTCATCAGATGAGTTGAATAAACGTTTGGAAAGAATTTATAATTTTAGATTGATTGGAATGATTCTGTCGGAGAGTGCATAAATTCTAATGAACAATCTACAAGCATAGATAAATTCAATAAAGCAAAAGATACAAAAATTAAACAATCTGTCTTATTGTTATCTGAGGAGTTGAAATGTGTTGAGGTATACAGTAATCGATTATTCAAATGTAAAATAATACATCTTCATTTTATAAACAATTCAATAATATTTGTCATTATTCATTTTTCAAAGTCACAAATGGAACAGTTTATTACGCCTGAATATTTTTATAACCCTCATACAGGCTTCAAAAACACTCGCAAAATGATATATTGTAATCCAGACTCAACATTGTATATATTTGCGATGAGACTATTGCGAATGATCACATTGTGATATCGATGCTGAAACGATATATTGTGCAGCTCTATCTTGAACCTTTCTTACTTTCTTTCTGTCTCACATATACTTTTACTTTTAACTCTTATATGCCTACTATTATTTTTTTAATTAAAATATTATACAACTACCAACACAAAGGAAACTCAATCGTGTGCCATACAATGATAAATTACCTTTTCTTTTTCTTTTTAGACTGGACCAACAGTCCTCTCCAGAGAGAGCTGGATGACAGAACTGCCTCCTGAGTTGCAGCATGTAGGCCTGGAAGCACGAACCTTCAAGAAAAGAACAGGCCCTGAAAACAAAGACCGCTCAATCTGGACTGACACTCCTGCAGACCGCGAGCGCAAAGCAAGAGTATGTTCAGAAGTCTAAATTGAAGACTTTCTGTAGTTTTACCAATGACACTGTAAATGTGATGATAATGCAGGAACGAAAAGCATGTCACTGATGGTTTGGGATTTCTGTTTGCTGGTCTTTCTTAGGAACGACAAGAAGCTAAGGAAAAAGGTGAATCAGCCAAGGATGATGTGCCTCGTCTGTCTCAGAAAGAGCTCGAGATGGCTGACAAAATTTCCAAATATAATGTAAGATTTTTGGTTTGATGCTTACTTTTGTTTAAAAGTGACAGTTTGGTAAGTTTTTAGTACAGCATGGGGATATAATTGCTTATATAACTACACATAATTGTTATTTTTTGTTAAAATATAAACATTTACTCAGTGGTTTTTATCTTGCGTTTCTTACATATTTATTTAAACATACATCATTAAATAGACATCACTGACTGACTAAGTAAAACATTATGAGTTTATTGACCTTATTCTAAAATGCGGAAGTGCGCCTGTTTTCGCGATTGTCTTAGAACTTCCGATTCAGTCGCCTATGGGAGAAATGACAAGGAATAATAAACGGCACAAAATGGCCAAACTACTTGCTCAACAAACAAATGTTTGCATGACTACACAGATCAAGTAGCATAATATAATAAGAAAATATTAAATTGCAACATCAAGCAGCGTAACGAGCAGTTGTTAACGTCAAAAAATGAATGGAAGTGAATGTGACCGGAAGTCGCGAGACAAAAAGATTCAAATGGCAGCGCCCGCTCGTCAGCTGAGAATAAGGTGAATAGGCTACGTCACGAGTGCTCAACCTTGTTCTTGGAGATCTACCTTCCTGCAGATTTGAGCTCCAACCCTGATCAAACACACCTGCCTTTAATTATCAAGGTCTTTCAGGTCTTAATTAATTAGTTCAGGTGTGTTTGCATACCAAACCAAATAACTCTGAAATAACTTATATAAAATAATGGTAATAATAATAATAATAGTAATAATGAATCCCATTATTTGTTTTAATTATCTGTGAGAAAACAGGTTAAAAAATTAAACATAATTTATTTGTGATTCCATAGCTTAAATTAAAACACTAGTTAATAAACATGTTTTATTGCATCTTAAACATTTTAATTAACCAAAATATTTTTTATTTATGTATTTATTCATTAAATTACTACTACTACTACTACTACTACTGATAATAATAATAACAACAATAATAATAATAGTAATAATAATAATAATAATAATAATATAATGATGATGATGATGATGATAACATTTAATTATTATTATTATTATTAGTAGTAGTAGTAGTAGTATATATTAGTATATTAGTATATTATTATTATATAGTTTATAATAGTAATATAATGATGATAATAATAAAAACATATAATTATGATAATAATAATACTTATTATTATCATTTTATTATTAATAATAATAATAATAATAATAATAGTTTATAATAGTTATATAATGATGATAATAATAATAATAATAATAATCATATATCATGATGGTGATAATAATAGTAATATATTATTATCATTTTATTGTTATTACATATTATATTGATCATATTATTATCATATACTATTATTATTTTCATTATATTATTATTATATTATTATTATTATTATTATTTTATTATTGTTATATTTTATTATTATTAATAATACTAATAACAACAAAAATAATAATAATAATAGATAATAATGAAAATAATAATATAATGATGATATTATTATTATTATTATTATTATTATTATTATTATTATTATTATTATTATTATTATTATTATTATTATTATTATTATTACAGAAGCAATAAGAAATTAATTTAGGCAGTTTTATGTAATTTATTATCCTGCAGTCCTTTTAGAAGTTTACTGAGGCTCCCTAGTAAGCTTTGGAAGAACAGATAAAGAATGGAAAACACCTATAATTTGCAAGATCTAAATGTCACTACATAAAACTCCAAGCCTAATAATATGAATTTCAGTCTCAAATTGCTTATCTCTTTTTAGGAGTCCAAGCGTGGTGAATCTCTCATCAGTTTGCACACTAAGAAAATGAAGAGAAAAGCTGAGGAGGATGCTAAAAAGCCTGTAGAGAGAAGACCCTTTGACAGAGATGCGGACCTCCAAGTCAATCGCTTTGATGAAGCTCAGAAAAAAGCTTTGCTAAAGAAGTCAGCTGAACTGAACACCCGCTTCTCACACAGCAAAGACCGCATGTTCCTGTGAGAGAAAGAGTCATCTGATTTTATAAAAAGATGTTGTAGTGTTTTGGCATCATTAAAACATGATCATAAAAATGCTTATATGTATAATAATTGAAAATAATGTTACTTCTAAATTTTCTTGGATTTTTTAAGGTTTAAAACGCTAAGTTTTAGTGTTACCTTTTTTCATAATATCATGAAAATTTCAGTCTTGTCTTTATCTAGTGATATGCTAACATTCCACTCATTTTTGTCAGTGTTAAAGGTGTTATAGGTAGTGCATTATTTTACAGTCTGTACTGTTTTCATAGAATATGTCACATTCAGGTCATATTTTGCCCTAAAATAAAATACATTTATAACAGTTTTGACATCAAATTTCCTGATTTCCAAATTACTAAGAGAAAGAAAGAAAGAAAAAAAGACAGATAGATAGAAAGAAAGAAAGAAAGAAATAAAGAAAGAAAGAAAGAAAGAAAGAAAGAAATCCTTAAAGTGTAAACTATCAAAAGTATAATACTCTAATATTCACTCTTTATCAACAGCTATTTTTTTAATGGCAAGTCATAGTTTATCACAAGATTATTCATGATTATCCAACTAAGTTGCAAAATGAATAGTATTTTGAATATATTTATACACTGTAAGGGTGACACGGTAGCTCAGTAGTTAGCACTGTCGCCTCACAGAAAGAAAATTATTGGTTTAAGTCTCTGCCGGACCAGTTGGCATTTCTCTGTAAAGTTTGCAACTTTGCATGTTCTACCCGTGTTGTCGTGGGTTTTCTCCAGGTGCATTGAATAAACTGAATTGGCGGCAGTTTATGTGTGTATTGCAGCTGGTAGGCTATCCGCTGTGTAAAACATGCTTAATAAATTGGTGGATTATACTGCTGTGGTGACCCCTTATGAATTTAAGGACTAAGCCGGAGGAAAATTAATGAATGAATATAGGCTGTAAAGAAATGCAGAGTTCCGGTTCATTCATATTGTTTTAACACAAATCGAAAGTTATAGTAACAAATGTAAGTGGATTAAACATAAAACAATTAAGTTGTCCCAAAAAAATCTCAAGAATTGTGTTTTTTCGGCTAATTTTGGTTACGTAGTTTGAATAAGCAATTTTTATGTAATAAAAGGCTATATTACTATAATTGTGAGAAATGTTATGTGGTAATGTGGCAAACCTCTGAAAAGCGTGTTCACTTTTAAATGAAAGACGAATTTACCAAAACGACTAAATAAAAATAAATAAATAATTGTCACAATAACTACATTTAAAATGCTCTGTAAAACCTAAAATAAAAGCGATTTCATTGGTCTCTCTCTCTGCCTTCTTTTCTTTTTGTCCTAACTGGCCACCGTACGACCCGTTCTGTTGTTGATACTGCAGCGCTAGCTAACGTGTGTTGCGTGGAGGAGGTACATTAAATACACATGAAACAAGTCTAATAAAAACACATTTTAACGTTACAGTATTAACAGGCATGTCGGAGAAAGGAGAGGTAGATTTAACGGGGGCGAAACAGAACGCTGGTGTATGGCTGGTTAAAGTAAGTGATTTAAATGCATCGACGAGGATTTAAGCTGCTTTAGCTTTAGCATGTAAAATGCTACATGTGGTGATATGTTTAATATGCTTTTTACTGTTATTGTTGCGTTGTTTTAAAGCCACTGTTGTATAATTTTCATAAAGGTCCCAAAGTACTTGTCACAGCAATGGACCAAAGCAACAGGGAGAGGAGAAGTTGGAAAGCTCCGAATTAGCAAGTATGTAGAAATTTATGTGTATAACGTATAATCTGCACATTATGAGGAGCTAGAAGTTATGTTGTTTATAGTTAACATTTAAACATTCACACATTTCTCTTGTTCATACAGGAATCAAGGAAAGGCAGAGGTAACTTGAATGTCTTCAAGCATGTAGTATTTTATATAATGACTTGTCTTTTGGTGAATTTGGTGTTTTTTTGGCTTGATTGTTTGATTGATTGACAGGTGTCATTCACACTCAATGAGGAGCTGACCACAATAGAGACTATTGGAGAGAAGACCTCTATGGTACGAGCCCCTAGAGAGCATCCTTTCACTTTGCAGACAGTTGGTGGACAAACTCTGGCTGTTTTTACTGAAAACTCTTCAGGTGAGAATCAAAATTGAAATACAACACTGAATTACACTAAATTCTGTGTCCAGACTAGATTTAGAAACTCTGAGGGGTTCAAATATATCACTACTCCTTAATTAATCTTAATGAGAGTGTGTAAATGGTTTGTTAATTTAGTACTAAACGGTGAGAAACAACAAAATCAGCTAAATCCACCAAAATCCACCAAGACAGTGTAATTAGTTGAAAAATCACCAATGATGCAATTAGAAATCATTTTACCAAACATTAAACGCATCACACAAACCACCTAAAATACATAAATCTGCTTATCAAAAAAAAGCTTATCAGATGTGCAGGTAATATGAAGTAATACAAATAATGTATAGTTTTATACATTATAGTTATATTTAAAAAACAGCTTACAATTGCAAATAAAACAAAAGGTGGGCCTATTATGTCTCTCAGACACTTTTAAAAGCTGTCTATCATTCATCCTCACCACACTCAAGGTCTTAAAATAACATTAAGGATAAAAAAAAAACTGCATCTTAACTTTGTCTTTCGTGAAATAGAGTTACTGTTTAATGTAGCTATAGTAATTTGGACTCATTCATATCGTCACTGCGCAAAACAATGTTATGAATGGATGCTACACTTCCAACTGTATAGTGTGTGTTTTTTTTTTTTTTTTTTTTTTACAATGCAGTTTTGAGCTAAGGAATGTTTTTATTTGCTATCCACTAACAGTCGGACAGGCTCATCCAGTTCATCAAAGTTCATCTTTTAAAATCTAAATCAGAAGCGGAATAAAGCAGTATCCTCATAAAAGCAGGCATGTCAGCGCACTGTTAAATTGAAAACATGATTCGATTCGTGCCTTTTAATTGGTTGTCGTGACATAGCAGCTTTTGCTGTCAAAGACAAGTGGCGTTTAGAGGCTTTTGCAAACAGTTTTTTTTTCTGAATGTGCTGACGCTGCAATTATTTGTTGCAAAAATATTTGTTGAATGTACTACTTGCCTAAAGCATTTGTTCAATGTCATTTTTGCCAGAAGTGGCATTTAGCAGGTTTTGCATCTGAACTCTTTATATATATATTACTTAAATTTGAACAATATTACTTTATTTAATGGTCATGTTAATTGTATAATACTTCATAATACCATTTGTAATATTGATTAATGCACAAAGTAACAGAAACTAACAATGAACTAGGGTTGTGCAATATATAAATACAGACAATATAAAAAGTCTACCATTTCATATTATGCTTTACGTTGTAGGGGAACCAACGGTTTTAACCCAAAAGTGACTATTCTATCAGTTAAAGAATAGCAGGATTCAGAGATTCAATTAAAGAAAAGTTTACTGAAGATAGTCTGCAGTTTCATCAGCAGAAGCCAGCTTCAACACTCTCATAGAGTTTGTAGGCTGCTCTGCTTGCTCTTGCTCTGCTTGCTCACATAACGGCATTAATCGTGTCATACATGTAGACACAGGTAGAGATTTCTATGAGTGTGTGTGTGTGTAATTCCGAACAATATCTTCCAATGATTACTTAGGTGTCGCTTACAAAAGGCAGACAGCCACTAGATCATTCAGAGCTGACCTCAGACCTGTAATACTGATCCACAAATGAATAGAACACGCATACACAGTACAATCTGTTACTTACTCAAGGCTGTTTCTGGTTCTCTCAGCCGTCTTATCAAACTTTTTAAAACTGGTGTAATCAACAACCGAATTGGCAGCTTGCATACAAAGGAATTTACTTTAAAAGATTTGATACAAATAACTTTGGAAACCGTTGGTTCCAATTCTTCAAGAGCTCTGGTCCTCTCAAGAGGTGTCCATGACCTCTAACCTAGCTTGGTGGATCCTGAGGAAACAAATCATTTGGCATACAGAAAAAGCAATCACATACATATTATTGCAGATTTATTCTGAAGAGGGATGACACTGAGGTCATCATATAATCTACACCCTTAAACATTCAACTTTATTAATATTTCAAGGCAAGAAATTTTACATGTTTTATGACCACAATATTACATGCCTTTATGGACATGCAGACAGACACTTGACTAACTGCATAATGAGAAAAAAGCAATCTTAAAGGTACAATTTTTACATTTCGTGTTTTATTTAAGTGATATTTTAGGTTGACCCTGAAATCATTGGTTTTATATTTAATAAATATTTATTAAACATTATAATTCTTAATTAAACATTTGACCTTAAGTTCTAAATGAAGTGAGAAATGTGATCCTGTATGAATGAGTAGATTTTCGAGTATGTACTTTAAAATGGAAAAACAGAAAAAATATTCCTACCGTTCGGCCCGTTTCATGATGGATATATTCTTGTCAGGATATGAGATTTCTTGTATGATCATATGAGATTTTTGTGATATTGCACGGCCCTACAACAACTATTTATTTTTACAGCGTTTACTAATTATTTATCAATAATGCTCATGTTTTTCTTGCATTTACTAGTGTTTTAGTGAATGCAGAGATTAACATTATTTTTAATAGATTGGTTCAATTATAATGTTAAGTTTGGTTAATACATTTACGCCAATTTTTTTTTTAAAGAAAAGTTATAATAATATCACCACTTTTTGTTAGCTGAACATTTTCTCTCTAACAGCTCATCTGGTAAGTAATTTTGTGTAATCTCTGGGATGTCCTGTAATACTTGAGTTGCCTCATACTCCCTTCCCCTCTCTCTCTCTTTCTCTCTCTCTCTCTCTCTCTCTCTCTCTCTCTCTCTCTCTCTCTCTCTCTCTCTCTCTCTCTCTCTCTCTCTCTCTCTCTCTACTGTTTGTGTGTTCTGTGAAATGAATCAGATTATTAATATTATTAATTAGGTTGTAATATCTTTCACCTCCTGGTCTCTTAAGCTTTTGCAGTTGCTCTGACCTCACAATCAGTGCGTGTTAATGTGTGTATGTGTGGTTTTAATTTTGATGGTAGAATTAGAATGGGCCTTCAAATATCACTGATTTTGGAAAACAAATCTACTCACCGCCTGTATATTTCTTGATTAACATGGAGTTGTGTGTTGTGTAATGTCTTGGGTGTTGTTTGTGCATGACCAAATGTCCAGATCTATAGTTGCCATTCTAATTCACTTCTACTTGTAGTGTAATTGTGGAATCAGATGATTTCTTTAGTTGTTTATCTTCTCTGCGGAGTGTCCGGGATCCAGTTAATCATGAATGTTTTTATTTGTTTTGGGGCTAACAATTCTTCTTTTTTAAATAAAAAGTCCTAATAAATGTATTTATTTAACTGTATATGAACTGTATACAATAAAACATTTAAGTGATATTGTTAAATATTTAATATAGATTTAAAACATAAATATATATTTTGTGGTGACCGCCAGGTGAAATTCCAACTGTCATTGCTACAATCTTTAGTGCCAGATCATACTAATTAGATGCTTAAGAAACATTTCTGTGGTTATAACTGTTAAAAATGGATGTGCTGCTTTTTTTTTTCTTCTTAAATCTATAGGCAATTTTGTTATGTATTATTGCTGTATATAGGTTGTTTTAACATGACGTCATTAATGATGTGCAAAATTTAGATAATTTAGATGGAAGGCAGAAGGTGGTTCTTCTACATAGGAAACGCCATCAGAACATCAAAATGTTTCTGTTTTATGCTGTTTATAATTGTTTAAATCAACCAAAATAAGAAATACTGATCAACTTTTATAAAACTCTAAAAGATTTCAGCTGACTGAAAAATCAAAGAAAAGGCGGATCGTAATAAACATTTACTCAAAACATCCATGTGTACAAACTTTTTGAACGCGATAATTTGTTTGACGTCACCAATAAAGATTAAATACATTCCTAGCTATGTGCATAAATATGTTAATGTGTTATATTAAAATCAGATACTAGCACCTCCACACTTATACAAAATCCAGGAGAATATAAATATTGTTCCCCTGCTATGTAATCATTGCAATGAAATCTCCATTTTGTTTTTCAATAATCCAAGTCTTTACTGGCATTTCGACAGAATAAACAACCGTAACGTGAACATCGAGATGCGCAGCAGTGGTAAATGTTTGTTGATGGTAAGTTTATCGAGAGAACAAAAAAGAAAATGCAACCGACAAAACTAGATGGTTATCATTGTGGAGCACTCTTACAAAACTAAATAAATAATTAATAATGTAGACTATGCGTCCATGCTTTTGTAAGCTTTCATCTGTTATTTCGTGGTGTCTGGAAGATACCCGCATGGGGAAAAAACTAGTAATTTATAATAAGCCTGTTTTTGAACCACAAGTAAAGTGTATAATGTGTACAACTCTTTGTTGATGAATGCTACAGAATAATGTAAAGTGATCAACTGTAATAAATACTGTAACATTAGTGGTGCATTGTGATTATAGAATAGAAAACTAAGGCTATTGAATAATTTCTTTATTATTTACACAATTATGCAGATGTGTCGTACCACAGTAACACTATAATTACTACAACAGTTTAATTCAAGTAATTATCTATTGTATGCATCCAAACACTATAGTATTTACTATAGTATTTTTCATGTAACGTATCTTTACACCATGTACCACATTGAAGACATGTAAATATATGTTCTCTATGAATATGAATCTCTCCCATTCAGTTTTTTTATTTCCTGCCCTCCATCTGAATTTCGCATGTCATCAGAACCCTGTGATTGAAAACAACCTATATATACACAGCAATATATTACTGTTTATATATATATATATATATATATATATATATATATATATTGCACTGTAAAAGAACAAAAAAAATGGGAAAATAAATTTGATCTTAAAAACGTTCCTTAAGTCATTATCCTGCTTTTTATTATATATTCTGTCATAAATCACAGCTGAAAAAATGAAATTTAATTATTTTATCATTTTCCTTTTCTTTGTGTGTGTGGATTGATTTTCTCTTTGGTTTCAACAAAGCTAACACACAATCCGACTGATCAGATACTCTGTGTGGCTTGTTGGTTGTATCTGCCTGGTTTGAGTTTGTGTGCGCGTTTGCTTCCGCTAACTGCTACAATGAGGTTTGGCGTGCCATGATTACTTTGGCATGTTTTCCCCCTCGTTCTTATGTTGCCATCCCTCTCATAGGGCAGTCAGATGCTGAGGCCAGCGGCTCAGGTACTGGTTCAGGCCCAGGTGAGTGCCCCCTGCTGGAGTGGAGGTCCGGGAAAGACCAAATCAAGCATTTTTAATGGCCTTTGATTTGACAATCAGCCAACAAAACAGCAATTATTCATAATTCCTAATTCCTAATTTTAATGATTGGTGAACAGTTTAATACTTGCACAGAACATGCTGTTGTGCCTCTCGCTGCCGCTTATGTAATGATGGGCAGCGTTACAGCAGCGATTATGTGGCTATAACTGTCATTGAGTAATAATGTCTCTGTTCTCTCACAAAGATAAAATCGCACTGGAAGGAGTAGTGGTGCAGAGAGCGGAATGCAGACCGGCCGTCAGTGAAAGCTACATGAGGCTTAAGAAGTAGGTTTAAATACACACTGTGTTGTATATCTAGTGAGCTGCACAGATTGTGTTATTGCTGTCGTAGAAATTTGTAATTTATTTATTGTAGTGCACAGATGCCAATCTATGTTGTCAAGCTATTTTACTAAGCTAGCACAGTACTGTAATAAGCATCAAATAGATTATTGGTGATCAACTAACAAATATAGAATGAGCTTCAATTTCACCTTACATTGAATCATGAGTTTAAGTAAGGGGGTAAAATAAACTAATTTTGATTTTTTTTTTTTTTTTATGACATTAGTCTGAAGTTTTGGTAGCATAACATAACACATAGCTAATGTAGTTTTATAAACTGCTAGAATATTTTAAAGACCTGTAGTATTACTTTAACATTATTTAAAGGGATAGTTCAACCTAAAATAAAAATTATGTCATCATTTACTGAATCTTCACTTGACTTGTTTATTTCGTTAAACACAAAAGATGTTATTTTGAAACGTATTGGAAACGTGTAGCCATTCAATTCCACAGAATTAGTTTTTCCTGCTATGGAAGTCAATGGTTACAGGTTTGTAACCTTTTTTAGATATTATTTTTTGTGCTCAACAAAAACAAAACAAAAAGGAAACTCATGAAGGTTTGGAACCACTTCAGTATGAGTAAAGGGGAGTAAATGTTCATGTTTTTGGTCTCTTTAAAATGCTGTTAGCTTAGTAGCGTAATACAGGACACTTAGTATGATTTAGCCAGTTATGTTTCTAAAATTAAGCACTGTTGATGTTTTATCTTAGAGCTAGCATAGTTTAACATTGCTAATGCTAGCATAATTTAACACACTGTAATGCTAGCATGTTTTAAAACATTGCTAGCATTGCTTAACATTGCTGGGTGAATTACTTACAAATTGCAGTCTCTTGTTGATTTCAAACTACATGATGACAATTGGCCCATGAGCTATTTTATATTTGTAACAAGAGACAATTCAATCATACCTTGATGTTATAACTGCTTTTGTAACATTATTTATCAATATGTAGAACTTTTTGGACAATGGACATTTAAAATGTAAAAAAGGAAATGCGTCTGGACCGTTGTTGTTTACATCCCTCAAAATCGTCTATAGATTTGTATAATTAACATTTCTCTTTCTGCTTTTTCCTCATGTCTCTTTTTTATTTCATGTGGTGTATTTAGTAACCACACAGGCACTATATTATGTCTATAAAGACTTAAATCTTTCTTATACACACTGTTTGATGCTTAAACTTGAATATACTCATATCAGTATCAAATAAGTATTTCTTTTTTCTTTGCAGACTGCAGATTGAGGAATTATCGAAACCCCTCAGGTTTTCTCAGCAGCTGGACAAAGCAGTTACCACTAACTACAAACCAGTGGCTAATCATGCTTATAATGTAGGTCAATATGATTTATGTTGTAAAACGGGCGTCCTGTGTATTTTTTATGCAGAACACTTTGTTTGTTGGTTTTTCCAAAGCTCGACTATGAGAAGAGGAAGAAAGAAGAAGGGAAGAGGGCACGTGCAGATAAACAGCAGGTGCTGGACATGTTGTTCTCCGCTTTTGAGAAGCATCAGTTTTATAACATTAAGGATCTGGTGGACATCACAAAACAGCCTGTGGTGAGATATATATTTCTTTCTTTTTTTTTTTTCAATAAGTTTATTATTTCAGGATGTCCGCGGGGTCGCAAAAAGTCTTAAATTGATATAATTTTAGATCTTCGTTTTAAACAGGTCTCAATCAGATACCATACAATCACGACCAATCCATCTCAGTAAAACTTTTAGCAAAACGTTTCATTTGAACTCTATTTTACAAATACAGTTTTAGTTTACAAGTAAAAGTTCTCCATTTATTTATGGTGAGGTCGCTGATCTGGACAGACAGTTGTGTGTAAATATTCTTAAAAACCTTTTAAAGAAATGTTGGGAAAAAGTGCATCTTTATCTCCAGAGTTTGCTTGTTTTGACACATTATTTAAAATGTGGCTAAGAAATAAAGGAATTACCAACCTATGTCACACGGGTTCCCGGTTGCAATAGTAAACATGTGGTGTTGTGCGGTAGGATGCCAAATTCGAGTCCAAAAATAGAAAACGTAACTTTTTCCGTACACCACACTGCTTTTAATGCCAACCGCAGATGTCGTTGACTTAAAGGGAATTGAATGGAGTCAAGACATAATTAAAAATGCTGGACTCTGCAGTTCTCATTTCATATCAGGTAAGTTCATGATATGCTGAATCAGACACATCACTCGCTTTTGATTGCAGCAATGATTTTACCAAAAACAGGGAAATATGGTGAATTAAACTGCGGACACTAAATGCTTAGAATGAAATGTAAACATGTACATTCGTTCAGATACTCTGCCGTACAGGTGCCGTTTACTGTCAGAATGCAGTTGTTTTGCTTGTTGATGATTACCCAGGCCTTGCACAGTTCCTTCTTTTTTTTTTTTTTTTTTTTTGTCTTTGGCAAGGCAGAACTTCGGTTTTTAGTAGGGTTGGGTATCGTTTGGGTTTTTTTAGATAACGGGGCTAAATCGATACTATTAAAAAATGGTACCAGTGCCAAAACGGTGCCTGAACCGATACTTTTTATCCACAAAATTAATATATATATATATATATGTGTTTATAATAAGTTTAAAGTAAACATCAATTCATATTTTATTTATTTTAATTGCATTCATATAAATCTTTTGACCATTTGTTTATTAGCATAAATGCAAGATTTTCATTATGCTATTAACATTACATTAGCTTGCTACTAACCTGTGGAAAGGTTAGTAGTATCTGTCATCAAAATCAAGGAACACCTTTTTTCTGGGCTTGTGACTACTTTTACATGGATATCGGTGATCTAATGATTTGCCTTAATCTGAATAAGACAATAATATGATTCAGGTGTTTACATGAGTTGCTTTTTGAACGTTACATTCATGATTTCTAGTTACATGTTACAGCACATAGATCCATCAACGTCATTGCGTCACCAGCCTATAAATGTTCCTCTGCAGTTTGTGTCTGAGGTCCTTTAAGATAATCAAAAATCACTGTTTACATGGTAGACTCTTAATCAGAGTATTGTCTTAATCATATTAAAATCAGAGTATTGGTGTCCATGTAAACGTACTCAGATAATGTGCCAAATAATGTCACAAGCGGTCAAAGACAGTCCATTCCTCACCTTTAAGTTGATTCCATGAGCCCTCACATTTTATAAGTTTGACGCGTTTCTCCCCTACTTGCAACTTTTGTAAAGCCTCTGCGGCATGTTGGTGTCAGAATCCTTGCTTGTAAAATATAGCCATACTGTAGAATGCTTAGTTTAAGCAAATTAGATGAATGCGATCATGCGTGTTAATGAAGTGAGCCGCTCGCCGCATGTGCTTTACAGCTCGCTTTGCCTTCTATGAGCTACAATAATAATTGCCTGACATTCGTACCCCTCAAAGCTGTTTAGAACTAAACATTTACAGATAGCGTGACACAACCCTTACTCAAGTGCGCCTTTAATGCACCCCTTTATGCTTCTTAAGCGTGTCACACAGCAGATGTGCCACCAAGAGCCGCGGCATGGAGCGCACATGACAGTTGATAGTATCCCACACCAGACATGCACATTCGCATGTTATTTAAAATGAAACTATTCAGATGGCACTCTGTGGCATGGCAGAAATATGTAGTTATGAGTCGTGGCTGGGCCACGAAATTAGGCACCGAAATTCATATGCTGATTTGATCCGGTGCATACCGGTTCCAAAGAGTTTCAGTACCCAACCCTAGTTTATAGTACTACAAAGTTTTAAATCTGGTAATCATGGAACATAATTTCAGTTTTGCAAACTGGTAATTTGTCTATAGCAACAATGTTTTGATGAGGATAGTTAAAATCATTTCCTTTTCCATTAGAAAGAAAGGTTGGAAATTCATTAATAATGGTCTTAAAGTCTTAAATTTGCAGAAACCGTTATTCTCACGTAGCATTTATTTGATTACATACAGCAAAAACGTTTGTGATGTGACAACCAGTTTTGAAGGGGTAGTTTAGCCAAAAAAAATTGTTCATTTACTTGCCACTGATTCAGCTAAAAATGGTTGCTCATACATTTTTGGCAATAGTCAAAAATATATTGTGTTAGACAAAATTAGCTATTTTATGGCAAAAATCATTAGCATATAAAGCTATCTAGTAAATTTCCATTAAAACGCATTTTATGATCAGTAATGTGTATTGTAAGCACTTCAATTTGGACAGCTATAAAGGTGATTTTCTTTCTACTTAACCCTTACATTCTTGATTTTCAAATAGTCCTATCTTGGCTTAATGTAATTTTTTTTTCTTGGTGTTCATTTCGTTTTTTAAATGCCAAAATCTCATTCATTCATTAAAAAAGAAAAAATCAGTTTGAAATAAATTAGCATTTTTCTTTGTTTTCCCCACATGATAGCAAACTTATCCACACGTTTTATTCCTGTGATAAGTTAAAATTTAACAATAAAATGTCCTCCTAAATGTCACAATCATTTATAAATCTTAGCTGCCAATTCGAAACGTATTAACGTATTATTTGTTATTATATCTTGTAGCTTTCAATTAAAATGTATATTATGTATTGCTTAAACCCATATGACATTGTTTCACAATCCTAAAATGTCAAATATCTGTCACATTTATAGACTTTATGTACCCTTGCTTAAAGTAGTAAATGATCCTAAATTTTTTAAGGATAGTGTACTTTTAAAAACTCATGTCCTTGTTTTCTGTAGATTTACTTGAAGGAGATTCTTCGGGACATTGGCATTTACAATGTCAAAGGCACCCACAAAAACACCTGGGAGCTCAAACCCGAGTACAGGCATTACCAGAGCGAAGAGAAGAGTGACTGATCCTCTTCAAGATCACCTGCTTACATGTGTTTGGACTCAGAATGACTGAAATGTTATTTCTGGATTATTTCAAGGATTCTTCTGTTGTTTTTAGAGCTGCATCTGAAACTCATGTTATGTTTTACAACGCTAAGATGTTTTATTGAGAAATGGAATTGTTCAATCAGAACTGAGGGAAAACACGCATTATATAGCAGCAATTGGTGTATAACGAGAAGGTGATGTCAGAATTTTAAGTAAAAGTTAAGTAAAATATTCTGATTTGGTTTTCTAATTGAAATGCAGTTATTTTGTATACTATTTAACTTCAGTAAATGTTCTTGAAATAAAGGTTTTGTACAAAATAATTATCATTTCCTCTGAGTTTCAGCCATTTTCATCAAAACAATTGAACTGATTTTATATTTCTGGAGAATCATGATGACATTTTGTTTTATGTCAGCATTTTGTCTTTTTATAACAAAGGGATTTATGAATGTGTGAATTGTTTCATGCACAATGTTAAAAACAAGTAATTGACTTAAGGGGAGTTAATTCGTTTATAAAATGATTAGTTAACTCCAAAGTAAACCCAATGCCTTAAAAAATGATTTATGTTCATAATTCTTAACATTTAGTAAATTTAGGCTTTAAGTTACAGCAGGTTAACACAATTTTGAATTGCTTGACAGTGTAAATTAACAGCATTGATATACATCAGTATTTTATTGAACCGTGTTTTGAACATTTGCTTTTCATTATCTTACAAGTAAACAGTAAGTTAGATGTTTGTTATTTTGATTAAAATATGGGGTTAATATATAAATTTATCTTCTTTAATTCATGTTCCCCACAAGACCTATTAGATTAAGGTTCTGATTATCTTATCCAATTCCATACAACAAAATGGTACCATTCTTCGAGTAAACAGAATATAAAATTAGCTTTCGATTAAGTTTTTACCCCCTTTGACAAAGAGCTATTTCAACAAATTAAATGTTACATTTGCTATGAAAGTTAATCTCCAGCTAATAATTTGCATGTACAGTGTAATGCATTTTTTTTTTCCAATTGCTGGTTTAAAACGGATTCACATTATATTCCTCCCATTCCTTTTTTAGACAGTGCCTGTTCATTTAACAAAACTTGTATTTTGTAACGTTGGTTTAATTAATACATGTTTAAATTCATTTGTCCTTATACAGTCAAATTTGAGCAGCTAACAAACCATCCTGCTTCTTTAAAGTAGTGCAGCTCATCTCGACATTTCTCCTTGAATTCTTACTCCTATCTTTGTGACCCTTGACCAACAAAAAAAAAAAAAAAATCACTTTTGTATATGAAGCGTTCAAACTCCAAAAACATGCTAGAAAGTTAAAACAAGGCAATACTTGAATAAGCCAGCAGCTTGATTTTATTCAATAACGGTGCTGAGAAATCCTATACAATCCTGTGATGGAAAGGGGGAAATTACAACTGTACATCTGCTGAAATGAGAAGCCGACATGCACAGCAAATGAGAAGCCAGCAGTCAACTTCACTTCCATGAAGACCAAGACATAAAATAGAACCCCAAAAATGACTCAGTTTCTTGACCACAATCTCTGCGCGTTGTGGCTTGGCTTGCTAAAAGTCCTGTTTTTAAATTTCATGAAGGGAACGTTCGCGTCTTCTTGCTGTAGACGGACATAAGCCAATCAAGAAATGAAAACAGTGGCCTCGTGAAGTTAAAAGAGCCTCTGGTCCTGATGGAAAGGATGAGGGGGAATGACTGGTTTAATCCACGGGCCAAACCATCAAGCAGAGGCCAGAGTTTGAGGGGTGATTTGTAGAAGCGTGGGACGTTTACTATAGGAAGGAAGAAAACAAAAGGATTAAGCATTGCTTCAAGACTGACAGCATTACAAGCCACCAAGCACTTGAGCAGCAGCAAAGCATCTTTTCATGCAGATACTAAAATGTCCTATTCTCCTCAGATTAGACTTTTCCAGCCACCATTCAGATGGACAGATATATTGAGGAATATTACTGTTGCATCCTTGTGCAAACCAGAGGCCACAAACCAAGGCAACAGGCCTATCAGTGGATGCCCACTAAACTATTTAATTCATTGAAGTGTTAAAAAAAAAAAAGGAAAAGGAAACTTACGCATTTTTCAATCTCAAGACCATCCTTGAAGAAGATCATGTATGGTGTGACTCCATCCTCACGAAAGTCAAGGAGACCGATCATGCCATCAGGGTTCATGGATTCACCAGTGAAAAACTGCAAGATGGAAAAAAAACTATTATATCTTAAGAGCTCCATTACATGTGAAGAGGTCCTCTTTCTTTCATTGTTCTCAATGCCAATTTCTACAACCAAATATTTTTATTTTTTTTATTTTTTTAAGTCTGCTACAGCCCAAAGACAAGTACTCAGAACATGTTTTCTTTTCATTAGTCATAACCTCCAAAGGTGTCCTAAGAATGTCATCACTGTACGTCTTTTAGAGGGCTGTTATTTATAAACTTCTCAAATGTATCGGATCTCCTTTAGAAGGATTCAAGTAAACCCTACTGAAGCAAAATCACAAACGAGAATATTTATGAAAAATGGAGAAAATAAAATGCTAGAAACTAGTGCTATTTTACAATTAGGACTGCACAATATTGGAAACTCGCATTGCAAAATTTCATTTTTCTGCGATATGGAGTATGAATAGCTGTATTTCAAAAAAAGAATTTTTTAGGACAGTATTTGGATGATTTTTAATTGGAAAGCGTCTGCATAAGTAATAAAATCACAAGCAATGATAAATAAAGCAAAACTAAAAAAGAAATAAATGCATGGTTTAATCGTAGTTGAACAGTATTTAGGCACACAAACCGAATAATGTTAATTATGCCTCGTTTCTACTGACTGGTACAGTACGGTTCGGGTCGGTACGGGTCACCTTTATCAGGCTTGCATTTCAATCACAAAGGGTACCCTTTTGGTGGGCATGGTAGTGTATGACAAAGTTTAAGTCGACGTCATGCTCGCTCGAATTAATGTCTACAGTAAAGCTGTACAGGTCGTTCACATATCATAATGAGCAGCACTTCTCACAAAACAGATGCTTTATACACAAATACTGGTTTATAAATGTTTTACCAAGTTTTCTATGAACATGAGTTGATTATAACTGCATATCAATGACACAGACGTTACAGTAGCCTATTTCGCACTAATTAAATTAAATAAATACATTTATGCAACATATATGAACACATACAGCCTCTTACAGACTCAGATATATTATTCATTACAGAGCAAACATTTAGTACTTAGAGTTCTACAACACACGCAACATAGCGCACAGTCAGCGCAAACCTCTTATCTGTGTCTGTAATCTTCAGCAGCACATGTAAGCTCTGTTAGAGAGTATTTTTGTCATTCTCGGTTCATAATAGTCTAAAAGACGAAGATAAACATGGCAATTTGTTCATGATTCAGGTTGCTAAAACAATTTTGCTCCTGTGTTTTGACGGCTTCTCTTCCCCCCCCCCCCCCCCCCCCCCCCCGTTTCACTCTCGCTTCATTTTGCACTTGTCTTTTTTCCCTGAATGGATCAGATGATGGAGACACTTCAATAATCACACTCCATTATCAAAACGACTCAAGAAGTTTGTTATATCAAACATAGACGCGATCGTGAGCTCCCGGAAGAAAGCAAATACCGCTCGCAATTTTAGACGGGCTCGTAAAACAACAGGACACGGCAGATTTTTCTTCTTGGCTTTGTGTCTGTTCACAGAGATGACAGCAAGGTTTGTTTGAGCTAGGGTCATCCATGGCTGGTTATTATATGCATATAGTATTTCCATGTAATGTCTTGCCTTTGTATTTAAAAAAAAAAACATGGCTGTTCCTTGTACATTCTGTGTAGCTTTACAAGCTCGTGACGCATCTCTGTAACCAATCAGCGTTCAGCTGCGCGTTTTGGTACTCTTTCTCCCGTTTGGGACCCTTTCGAAAGGGTGCCGAAAAAGTGTTACGGTGCGGTTTGGTACGCTTTTGACAGTGCCATATTGGGTACAACGGCCATAAAAAGTGTACCAAACCGAACCACTCAGTGGAAACGGGCTATTAAATAACTGTATAATCTTCATTGCATAAATGCTACAAATTAACAATTAATGTTGCTTGAAGTTACTAAAATTAATTTCCTATGCCTAAATGCTTTAAACTAACTTGAAATGTGTACAGTCACAGGCTTTAAAGCACATACAAATGATATAATTGTGATCATTGTTAAACTTAATTTAAAATTAGTAAATGAAATAAATCAATTTCCCAACAATACTGATTCTAAATTAATTAATAGAAAATGATGTTACATCTATCTGCATGATAAGACACACCGACCCTTTCAGCGGTCACTGTAACCTACCTGAAAGTTTTTGATGTTGCCTAGGATTTTCTTGACCTCAGCCGGTGCGTTAGCCATAAAGGGATCTACCCTATTAGGTGCACTTTCCTGCAACTTGGCCTTAACTCTGTAATGTAAATAAACAAAAACAAAAAGTGAGTACACCACAAGGCTTTATAGAATTGAAAAATCAAAGTAGAGTTAAGAACATTTGTAGTCCCAAATTCAATCTTACATGCCACTCATGGGGCAAGCAGAAAGCGCAGGGACCTTTCATTTTGCATCGTAACATATTGAAACCCAGGTGGCCACAATACAAGACTCTGAGCTGTCAATGATGCAAAAGCTTTATTATAAATGATTGGAATATTAGCAGTATACAGGCCCTAATATACTGACAGCAAAATGGTTTTTCCATTCATCCTCTGAGGTATTGAACATCCTGACGCCTCTCATGCTGGAAACTGAAATGTGATTTATTAAAATATTAATATTTTATATCATAACACTATTGACTGATTTATTTGAAATGACATCACACCATTTTTGCTTCAAGCACATGGGGGCCTTTATATTTGCTGTTAAACAAGACTGCTGTTGCAAGGTACAACATGCTCTTCACAAGCGATTTCATGCCTGTTGACATCATACTCACGCCTTCATGTAGTCTTTGATGTAGGCTGTGTAAGACTTCTTGTCGTAGGAGGTCTCCTGAAGTTTGTGGTTGAGGACTATGTCCACACCGCTGACAGAAGTGCTGTCACAGCCCTCATCCGCAACTTCTGCTGACGCATTGCCACCAATCAGGGCATCATCAATGTCTCCTTCTGCTCTGGTGATCATCTGAGGAAAAAAAGAAAGAAAAAAATTAAGCTGATGTCACTTGTTCATGGCAAAAAGAACTGTTTGATAGAAAATTGTAAAATAAACCATTCCTAATAACACCAGTACTGATCCAAAAAAATTAGGATATCAAAAAAAAAAAAAAGTCTGCCCAAAGACACGCACTCAGAAAGTGTTGTTTTTCTCACTGGCCATAACCTCCAAAGGTGTCCTAAGATTGTCATCATCGTACGTTCATAAGAGGGCAGTCACTTGACAACGATTTAAAAATAAATAAATGGATATATATTAGTGTAAAAGAACCATTTACCTTTCCCTCCACTTCAAGCATCATTCCATTCTCAGACTCTTTGATTTTGTAGATGTCTGAGAACATCTCATCCCCTGTGGAAAAACAACAACAGCACTTTTACAGTTAGCTCAATATTTGCCATTTCCCATGCTGGCTATGAAAACGGGATAAGATAAAATGTCTTTGCAACAATTAAGGTAAAGTTGGTTTTACATTCACACATTCGGACTTTCTTTGTAAAAACATAATATCAAAGTATTCTTGGCAAATTCTAAATGGAGAAACCATATTAGCAGCCAATGACTATCAAGGTACAACATTGTTCACAGTCGATTAGATAGTGTTAATGTTGTTTTGAAGTCACACTTGAATGCTAATTAAGACCGAATATTCCTCTGTTTTTATTCCTCTATTATATACCTCTATTTTGCAACAGCCCATCAAAGTTACGTACTCAGAACATGTTTTCTTTTCATTGGTCATATCCTCCAAAGGTGTCCTAAGAATGTCATCACTGTACGTACTTTTGTGGGCTAGCATTTCAAAACTTTGTTTCTTATGCCTATCAGTAGTGTCTACTGGAATGTTTCCAAACCTGAAAATAAAATCAATGACAGATAGTTCTGGAAGTTTCCTCTGATACGTCACACCCTAGTGTGTGTAAAATACACCACAGAATAACTTTAAACACGTGTAAATTAAATATTGACTATATCCTGAAAAACTCAGTTACACAAAGTTAAATAGTTTGCTTGTTTAAGCTTGATGATTACTAATTTAAGTTAGTTGGTTTATAATTTATTTTAAAAATTCGTCAATTTATTGTGTGATACTAGACGTATCCATTAAAACGCGTTGCTCTCATTAATTAAACAAAGCACACAAAGCCAAGTGAAAGAGCAGGGTGTGATGAAACATCCTTTCCTTAAAAAAAGGCTCTGAGAAGCTTAGCGAGTAATGAGTACGTTCAGTTAAAGTACAGAACTGGCCTAGACGAGCAACACGCCCTGTTTAGCGCTCATTTCGTCATCCCAAAACCATTTGTGAACATGGAGAAAAGCTTCCACCGGCGTATTCAATATTATAGTTTCTGTTGTTTAAAACAATTTTTAAACACATTGCTTGTGGAATTAAACATGGTACCCGAGCAGCGTGACTGCGAAAGCAACTAAACGCACAACTTCAGAGGAGCCCTATAACGTTACCGGCCGACCGGCGTTTTAAGCAAGCTGCTAGCACTTCAAATTACCGCCAGTATTTCTTAAATATAACCGAACTGTTTAATACCCTCACTTTTGGAAATAAAATGATTCATTTATCAAAATATAATATAAAAAGAGATGGTAGACATTAAAACAACGTGTACATAGTTTTACAGCTGGTTAGCCCCAATGCTAACTGCGCTCAACAGTTAGGCCGCAGTTGAGCCGGGAAAACACAGTTCCTTTAAAACAACCCAGGAACACTTGATGGCAAAAATATAAACAAAAACTTAACATTTTGATGTGTTACTTCGAGTTGGACGTAATTCTTACCAGTGATGATGTCCTTGTAGATGATCATTTTGTTGGATTGTGTCTGGGGATATCAGAAGGCGAACAGCGCTGGCTGTGACCTGATCGTGGACTCAGCTGAAAAGGCCGGCGCGTGGATTGAACATCTTATATATGCGCTGAGAGTCACGCGCGCCCTCTAACGGTGTGACATCAAATCTCCTCCGTTTCATAGACAGTTTCCTAAAATAGATTACAAATTATTAATCTTTAAATATTTATTCCAATTAATAAAAAACAAACATACTTTGTAAAAAAACGTATCAGAACAGTGAATTTTATATTATATATTAAAAATACACTAAATCAGAACCAAAGAAACACTTTTTTTTCAGAAATTTACCAGTTCTAAAACAAATCCTCACTGGCCTAAATTCATTTTCCAATAAATAACCATTTTTACTTGAGCTTTGTTTGAGTTTAAGTTCATCTGAAATGGTTTGCCATATGTGTTTGGAATTTTATGAATTTAGTTGCCAAGACATGAAAACTTTCTGACAACATTTACCGACAGTTTTTTCCAACTGCTGACAATTTCAAATAATTAAAAAATAAGCATATCAAAGAACACACACACACACACACCACTCTTGTAGGCCTATTCATCATTGATTTTTTTTTTTTTACATTTAAACGCATAATAATCAAGTGCAAAAAAGAAGAGCTGAACTTCGGAAAAAGTGCCTGCGGTTGCCGCGATGTGGTTGGCTTTTCTGCAGTTGGCTTTTTAAAAAGAGTATGTCTTGCGTATTTATGGCTATTGATAAGCTATTGATAGGCTTGGAACAGCCTATCATTCTTTTATTATTCATATATTCTGTTAAAAGATTTTTGTGTTCATCCTTGCTACAAGCAACAACAAAATAAATAAATAAATAAATAAATAAATAAATAAATAAATAAATAAATAAATAAATAAATAAATAAAAACGAAATAAACTTAATTGAAACAATTTATGTATGGCATGGTCATTAAAAACACAATGGTCCTTAACCAGATAGTTTTTCAATTTACTTATAAAGATAATGTTACTTCAGTCATGTTGAAAAAAAAAATCGAAATCGTGAATCGGTCAAACTTTATGAAAAAAAATCTAGATTTTTTATTTTTTTTTGCCAAATCGCCCAGCCCTACGACATATAGGCCTACATCTTAAAATTGGGAGGGTTTTCTGTAAAAGAAGACCATATTCATCAATCTACTCCGATGTATGTGCAGGGCACGTCTGAATTCAACGAGGCAAAATTCTGTTAGAACAACAACCGCAACAAGGAGCAAAACCTGTAGCAGAGCTGACAACCCATTCTCAGCCCGAAGGCGTCAAAAACTGAGGTATGGTCAAGCCCCTTTCGCGTCAGTATGAGGACGCCGAAGGTGCCCGCTAGCGTCACAATACCGACGCAAAAGGAATTCCATTGCTTTTAATGGGTTGCCTGAGGCGTCAGTTGGAGATGCTGAAAGGCTCCCCAGGTGAAAAAAAATATATAATTAAATGCAACTAAAATACACTTAAATACCCGCAAATACATTTTTAGTACATATAGTTTTTTTGTGTTAAATAAAAGTTTGATGGTTTTACACTATAAATATACTAATTAAAAGTATGTTTATACTTCAGTAGGACTTTAGTACACTTGAAAAAAGTATACCAAATACCAGTAAGACTTAAATAAATTTTTAGTGTACTACAATAAAGTACACTACAGAAAAACATCCAAAATACTTTTATTAGTGTGTTTTTCAAAGGTGTGCTTTAAATGCTTTAAACATTAGTTGATTTTTAGTACACTGTTTACATACTAATCCTAAGTTTAAAATAAGTTATTATAAAAAAAAAATCTATTAGTAATGTATTGTAGTAGAAGTACATTTTCCCAAAAGTTGTACTTAAGTACACTTAATGTGAATGCAATATTATCACAAACACTTAAATTGATTTTCAGTGTGGTAATTTTAAGTGTACACTGTAAACGATTTCTGTTGTTTTCACAGTATTATACTGCATTTCTCAACAGTTTTTTACTGTATAAGCTGTGCACAGTGTGTTACTGTATATATTGTTGTTTTCACAGTATAATAATGTATTTTCAACTTTTCTATACCGTGAACTTGGTTAACAGTATGCTACTGTAGATTTTACAATGAAAAATCAGTTACTGTGCATCTAAATACAGTACTGCAAATGACCAAGAACAACTCCACACACACTATATATTATGATTATTATGTTTATTTATTTTTGACAAATTATTTTGTGAAGTAAATAACCTAACCAGTTTCTTCAGACTGTTCAGTGCATTAAACTGTCCCCTGGTTTTCCATTTTTGGGTGCACTGCACCTTCATATAAGGTAACATGGAAATAAATAATATTAAAAAAACATAACTTTGTGCTAAACCAAAACGTAAATTGAAACAAAAATAATTGATTTATGTAACCAAAGACTGTTAAACACACAAAATGATTTCAAAGTCAGCTTAAATGTCAGAGTGACCAACCTGCTTTAGACGGATTCATAAATATTGGGCGCCCATATGGGCCACAGTAGAGGTCACATATCTCTGCATTTTCAAAACAACAATTTAAAATATGCATTATCTTTATAAATAAGGCACAGGCTTGAGTTTAAAAGAACAACATTCTCGCATGAAAAACTGTTAAAACTTTATTTTATAACACATTTATTATAGAGCCATCGAAGACAGGGGCATGTTTCAATAATGTCTAGGCCGATTAAAGCATGAGGTTTGCCGTATACATGACTGATGAAGCGCCGTCAACCCCTGGAGGTCAGAATCTCCCTTATCGGCAAAGCACACTTAAATTAGTCACGATATCTATAAACAAACCACAGATTTGAGTTTGGAAGAACTACATTCTCGCATGAAAAACAGTTAAAACTTCATTTCGTGACATATTAAACGCAATATTTATGATATGATCTGGCTTTTCTCATCCGCCATTACTATTTGCTTGTTGGTGTAAAATGAATTCTGGGAGAAAAAAAAATTAATTCTCAAAACACTTTAAGCGAACCTTATTCTTATTGTTAAAGTCAGATATATGTAATGCTTTCGCTGGTAAAGTGCAAAAAAAAAACAATATTACTATTTAATCAATATCACGTTTGCACTGGTTCGGTTCAGCACTCAAAAGACACCGAATCGGATTGAACCGTTTGCTCGGGAATTATTTTATCACACGTGTTTACCAGCACATTCAGCAATATGTGTCTAAATGTGTGTGGCCGAGCAGTATAACGATATAGTAATGATTCGTTGTTGTGTCTTACATTAATATACGAAAAGGAATCGGTTTTAGGCGGATTCGACTCTTTACTGTTCTAAGGAGCCGATTCATTGAACCGAGCCGAGTCGATTCGACCTTCACCAGGCAAGCAACGGCTATCCTAATTTGAAATCCACCTGTCGCCTTTTCCTCCTGTGAATTCATCCTCGGTAAGTGTTTAAAAGTCAAATTCTGTCCGTTAAAGTTTTGTTTTATGTATATTTCTGTGTAGTGTTTGTGTAATTTAAAATAATTAACCAAGTTATTTTAGTTGTAGGTTCTTATGTCACGTTATTCGACGCCAGACCGTGATTGTAGTGTTTGCGAGGTATTAAGATAACGTACAGTGAGTTTATCTTGAGTGAGTTTTTGACCATAGTAACGTTACCTGAAAAAAAAACTTAACTTTTACTCAGTGTAACGTTAACTGCATTTTCTATTTCAGCACAACACTGAGATGAAGGCAAAGTCACCTTGAAAAGTTACGTTTAACGTTAAGGTAAGCTCTGGTCTTCACATAGTCATTATGACTAAGTTATCATTATGGTTAAATTTGTTAACTGTAAGTTATTTAAACTAAACTCACAATGAAACAAGTCTAAACTGTTTTATTAAATTTAGCTGATAATAAAATTCAGTTGATGTATTTTAAGCTAACGTTAATATTAACATAATACATGTTAATTGTCTATTTCTCACTGGTTAATGAGCTTATTGTATAGTGTATCATTAATTGTACATTTTATTTTTGGTGTTCAGGTGTAGGCAATGATTTGTATACAAATTTATTTTAACCCCATACAGATTGGTATGGTTGTACCATAGATTTAGATTATTAAATGTTAAGTCTTATTTTACTCTTATCTTTACTCTATATTTATCTTTTTTTGCAGCTACAGCAATTGATGTTGAAAAACTGATGCTACCAATCAATCCTCACTTGATTGTTCCAGGTAATGTTGATGTCTTCCTGATTTTGATTAGAATTTGAAATGTCAATTTGTTCACAGATTTGTTGTGAGGAGTTTCATGTACAACCTCTTTTTCTTCTTCCACTAGCGACGCAGTGGCACAGTAGGTAGTGCTGTCGCATCACAGCAAGAACGTCGCTGGTTCGAGCCTCAGCTGGGTCAGTTGGCGTTTCTGTGTGGAGTTTGCATGTTCTCCCTGCGTTCGCGTGGGTTTCCTCCAGGTGCTCCGGTTTCCCCCACAGTCCAAAGACATGCGTTGCAGGTGAATTGGGTAAGCTAAACTGTCCGTAGTTTATGAGTGTGAATGAGTGTGTGTGGATGTTTCCCAGAGATGGGTTGGGGCTGGAAGGTTATCTGCTGCATAAAACAAATGCTTTATAAGTTCTCGGTTCATTCCGCTGTGGTGACCCCAGATTAATAAAGGGACTAAGCCGAAAAGAAAATGAATGAATTAATAAAACAACCATGGCTAGGCTATTTGGCTATCAAATGCTGAGTAAATATTAGACACAATAATAATAATAATAATAATTCCTTACATTTATATAGCGCTTTTCTGGGCACTCAAAGCGCTTTACACAATGGTGGGGGATCTCCTCATCCACCACCAGTGTGCAGCATCCACCTGGATGACGCGACGGCAGCCATTTTGCGCCAGACCGCACACCACACACCAGCTGATTGGTGGAGAGGAGACAGTGATGAAGCCAATTGGAATATGGGGATGGTTAGGAGGCCATGATGGACAGAGGCCATGATGGACAGAGGCCAGTGGGCAGATTTGGCCAGGATGCCGGGGTTAAACCCCTACTCTTTTCGAAGGACA